GAGCATTAGATACCAATAGTAATTCCATCGCACCTAATCCTACTGACACTGCATCGCATATCTTGGGGTGATAGAACATCGGATAGGCCCATCCGATACAAATATCTTGGCAGTGTGGGTTGCACAAACCTTCAGTCTCAATGATCAACCATGTTCTATCTCCCATTGTCAACAAACTCCTGGTCCTGGAAAAAGGGTTCCAAGTGTGGACACATCAATATCCCAATGGTCAAATGGTCCAGATAAAGCTGTTGGGGTTAGTCAGAGACATTGTGGCCACCCACAAAGTGGCAGGGTATGCATCTCATTCAGTGGTCTGCTTATGTTCTTTTTGTGTCTGTAATATCAGGGAGAGGTCTGCTTTACAATTAGCAAGAGAAAGATCAGATTTAGAAGTATGAGCTCAAGCCAGCACTTACACAAAGGCAAAAATGATCATGAAGCAGGAGGCACTGGTAAGAGAATTTGGTGTATGATCATCCAAGCTCGACAGACTCCAGTACAGAGACACTGTGAAGCATGTTGTGCTTGGTGTCATGCACAACTGGTTGGAGGGTGTCCTGCAACACCACTGGCAATATCAATGGGGGTTCAAGGGGATGAAGGCTCATAATCGAGATGAAGGGATCAATGAAGACAGCAATGAAAGTGATGAGAATGATGAAGACCCAAGTGGTTGGGAAAGCGATTTTGATATGCAGCATGGAACTCAAGCGACCCTTTTCTCTGAGCATGAATGTTTGGATTTCAACCAGTTGCTTAAAGATGTGGTTTTGCCATTGGGCATTGATTGGGTCCCACTCAATCTGGGTGAGGCGAGACATGGAAAACTTAAAACAGCTCAGTGGAAGATGAGCTTTATCTACATTATACCCCTTATCATTCCTGAGATGCTAGTCCTTGATGTAGATGATTTCAAGGCAACATCGAATCATGGCTTGATACTCAAAAACATTGCAAAATTGTGTTGCTGCACACAGATTGTACTTGTGGAGAAATACACAAAGGCCAATATCAAAGAGTTTCAGGTGATGTATGACTGTTACAATTACACTTCAAAAGAGCTTTTCAACAATTCCTGTGTCCTTCCCAACCATCACTATGCTCCGCATATTCCTGAACAGATGAGGTATTGGGGTCCACTCATGGCTGTGTCAGAATTTGCGGGTGAAAGGCTCAATGGAATGTTACAGAAGGTGAAGACAAATCACTGCACTAGTAAGTTTTTCAGATTTTTGACATGTTCAGGTGCTCGAACCAGGGTTGATCCTTTGGTATTCATCAGGTGAAATGGATGGAACCATTATGAATCAAGTATGTCAACTGCAGAGACTGTTGGCTGATCATCCACCCCCCATAGAAGAAATCTGCCACAAGAAAATAAATACTCACAGCATCATCCTGGGTGCAGATGTCTATGAACTTTTAATCGAACATGTCCAGAAACAGCACCCTACAGTTTGAAGGTACTCTGACATACTGCACCCCAAAGGAAGTTTGGTTCTTTCAGAACATGCAAAGCCGGTCTGGCAACATTGCATTGAAACAGGTTTCAAAAACTTTATAGTGTCTCTGTTGGCTCCAAGCAACATCATCTGCTATGTAAGGGGTGGTCATTGAAGGTATGCAAAGGTAAAACAAATTTATGCCTACATGGGACCTTTGGGAGAACCAGAATGGGGTGTTCTTGTCAACCCAGTGCATGATTGTTTTGGGAAGGATCTCAAGGCCCCATCAAGAAATTTTCACTGGATTCTCTACTTGCTCCGTACAGTTGTAGGTGTGATTTTGGACAAAATGTTTTTCTTAAGATTAGACAACATTACTAGCACAGTGGCTTACAGGTTGTTGCCCAAACATACATTTGGTCTAGAAAAGGATGGTATCATTTTGAGCTCTCAGTTATTTTCTCACTCTTTTGTTGTAACTTAATTTTTTTTCATTCATGCTTGTAACTTTCCTTTTTTTTTTTTTTTTCTCCTCATAAATTGGCCACCTCTCATCATTTATATTTTTTTTTCTCCCTGAATTGACGCTCAATGGTATTTGCAAAAAACTTGTGTGTTACAGAAAGTTATATTTAGGATGATCATATGGTTCCAAAAACATATCTAATCAAAAGAGGTACATCAGAGTTGATCTCCCTCACTCTTTAGCCTTCCCTTTTTTATTCATCAACTGGTCCCCATCTTTATCCACCTCATCACTAGCCTCAAACTTCTCTTCATGCCCTCCATAATAGTTATTTTCACCAGTCCCTGATTCCTCAGAGTCAGACACAAGCCACTTACTATTAGCATCATCATAAAGTTCCCCAAACTCCCCTTCAGCATAATACTCATCGTCATCAGCATCCTTTCCATCACTTGGCATTGTAAGATCTACCCCCTCCCCTTCTTCATCCAGGAAATCTGCTCAAACATTGACATCA